TAAAAAAAATTATATAAAATCCGAGGACCAAAACTTGAAAAAAAGGGAAACTAAGAGCCGTTTCTGTCTAACCAGGGTTTCCGCTCCGCCCCAAAATCACTATAAATTCGAAACGCTGGTCACCTCTAACGGTGAGAGGGCGACGCTGAAATGCATGGTTGAGGAACAGCCAGTCAGCAGTATTTTCTTCAGTTCTCTTCTCCAAACTCTAAAGTCGTTTTTTTATCATTTTTCAAAGAAAAAATAAAAATTGGATGTGGCCTTCGTAATCCCAGATGAGCTTAATATAAGTAGCTATCTGATTCATGGGAGGCCAAGAGCGAAGCTGGAGATTTCGCTGATAACGCCTTCCTTCTTCCTTTTTCCTTGAAGGCGTTTCTAGTAATCTTCACCATACATTCAATTTCTTCAGTACTTATAAAATTGGTTTTGATACATAACTTTAATGGACAACTGTAAATTAACAATTTTTTTGGAAAAACAAAACTTTGTGTTAGTGGAACAAGTCTTTCAATTTATCCGTAGATTTGACTTGAGCCATGGTTCTCACTTCTCAGAGTGATGGGAGTCAAGTTTTGGGAGATCCAGTGATCTTTTAATGTTAGTGGATTTGAGTTAAATTCTTGTCTATACTTTCATTTAACAGTATTTTGCAATTTCTAACCCTAAAACATTAATAGGGTGCAATCCCTCTATTTTTTGGACACTTAATTTAAAAATTTGTCAATTTTTACCTAAAGTTTTTACAAAGTTAAAATTTGAAAAAGTTAAATTAGAATTACAATTCCTGAATCCATGAAATAAGATCCAAGACTTCTGAAGTCTGAAGACTGGAGAGAGCAATCAAGTTTTGAATAGTTTGGCTGGACTTTACAAAACTCTTAAATGATACCCTTGAATGCATAATTTTAATTTTTAATTAGTAAGGTTAAGGTACATCTATTTTAATTTCTAATTATATAATGAGGCATAATTTTGTCAATCCATTTAACGTAAATGAAAACAGTTCTCAACATAATGCAGAATCTCCTTAGAAGAAAATGACAACAATGCCAATGGCTTGTTACATATAAGCCTTGAAATGGTGGCTTAACTGAGTAAAAACTTTAGACTCCAAGTTGCAAATCTCATGTTTAAACTCTAAGTGACCGGTGGTAGCAAATTGCATTTTATTCCCTGGAATAAATTTGTTTTTCTGAAGGACTTAACCATACGAGAGACCTTGTTTCCCTATATCCACAACCTCATTGAAAGAGGAAGGTGCATTTCTTCTGTGTGTGTTTAGAGGGTGCTAGGGCAGTGTTACCAACCAACAATTCAGATTTTGATGCCATCATGAATTGTCACTTGATCTTTTTATTTTTATGAAGTGCTTGATTGTCACAGCCACTGTCCATTGTGTTTCATTTCATTAATGAACTGTGGCCTAGTTGCCACTCTGTCTGTTCTAAAGTCATAATGACCTAATGTCTATGATATCAAAGAGGAAGCTGTTGGCACAGGCAAAACAATGAGTAAGTAGGATCCTCATAAACATATTTACACCTCCAACTCTGTCTCTTCCTTATCTTCCCCCCTTTGTGTTTGAATTTTAGTATGCAACCAAAGCAAATGTCATTATGGCTAGACACCAACAAAAATTTCAAATAACTTATGCAAGCTTAATTCTCGATTTGAACTTTTATAATGTGGATTGATTTCATCTATCCACAGTAGTGGCAGTGAGTGTCTTTAAATACTAATTCAAGAAACTGTTTCAGGTAGCTTCAGTAGGACAGAGCTGGACCTCTGATGAGTCTAGTTACCCTACGTAGATAATCTATATTGTTGCTAATATGTAAACTGGACAAACATATAAAATCAACGACTAAGGGGTGAACTTGATCTCTTGTGAAACATTTTAATGACTTGATTTTGTCAGTTCATGAGTGCCATCAAAATAGCACTTTAATTCTCATCTAGCACATAATTCTATAACTAATTTTTACTCTTTTGACAATCTATTTCTCTGACTTCTCTGCAGTTTATGATGTGACCATTGGGTATAAGAATCGGTGTCCATCATTCTTAGACAATGTATTTGGGGTGGACCCTTTTAAAGTTCATATTCACATCCGACGGATTAGCCTGGTTGACATCCCTACAGCTGAAAAGGAGGCTACTTGGTTGATGGATGCATTCTATCTTAAGGATGAATTGCTTTCTAATTTTCATTCAAAAGGCAATTTCCCTCAGCAAGGAACAGAAGCGCCCCTCTCAATGGTGAAGTGTCTAGTAAACTTTATTGCAGTACTCATCTTGACTAGCACCTGTACCTTTTTCACATTTTTCTCATCCATTTGGTTTAAAATTTATG